CACTGTGACAGCTGGTACGGCATCCTTTGGTAGCAACTTGTCGGTGACAGGCGCAGCGAGCTTTGGGAGCAATGTGGGAGTCTCGGGCCCGCTCGTAGCGTCAGGTGGGCTCACCTCGTCAAACGGACTCACTGTAGCCGCTGGGTCCGCTTCTTTTGGGAGTAATGTGTCAGTCACCGGCCCATTGACGGCCGCAGGCGGACTGACCTCATCTAACGGACTGTCAGTTTCCGCGGGCACCGCAACTTTTGGAAGCAATGTTTCGATTTCGGGGCCACTGACAGCGTCAGGTGGGATTACCTCTTCGAATGGTCTGACGGTTTCTGCTGGAACAGCGACGTTTGGCAGCAACCTCGTAGCATCAGGCACTATCACCGGTTCGAATGGCCTGACGGTAGCGGGGGGAAGTGTTAGCTTTGCGAGCAATCTCACAGTTGCTGGGGCGATTGTCTCATCGAACGGTGTGACCGGGTCTTCCTTCAGCACGACTGGGGCGATCAGTGCAGGAACGGGTAATTTTTCTGGAGACGTGACAGTGAGTGGAAACTTCAATGTTGGGGGCCGCATTGATTATGTCAGCACTTCGGAGCTGCTGGTTGCGGATAAGCATATTACGCTCGCATCCTCGTCCAATCCAACCGACGCACTTGCCAGTGGGGCGGGACTCTACATACAAGGGTCCAACTATGCAGCTTCCAACAGCACCATATCTCTCACGTGGAACACCGGTGCAAACGGGAACTACTGGCTGACAATGGGAGGGAACGTGGCGCTTCAGGGGACGAGCGGGTCCAAGATGGTGACCCTCTCAACGGCTTCTGACGGGTCCTTGAAGCTTCTCTCTGATGACGGGACGACCGCTACCAGCACGGCTGCTTTTGGTGTACCTCTCATACCCGCCAGCTCCGCCCTGGACATTGGCAGCTCCTCTAACCTTTGGGGGACGCTGTACGCATCGAGCGTTGGGAGTGCATCGAAGCTCGTCCCTGTCTTTGCATCTACCATCAGCTGCAGCAACCTGACAGCAACAGCTGCGGTCACCGGAGGAAGCCTATCTGCTGGTGCTGGTTCGCTCACGGCTGGTGCGGCAACACTCGGGGCCCTCTCGTGCACAACGATATCCACAAACAATTGCAACATCTCTGTTGGCACCGGTTCAATAACGGCTGGTGCAGTGACTTTTGGGGCGGTCACGTGCGGTTCAATTGGAACCCAAGGCAATTCGATCAGTGCAGGAGTGATTTCGTGCACGGGTGTAAGCCCCGGAGCTTCCAACTCGTATGACGTGGGAAGCAGCTCGCTGACATGGCGCAACGCCTACTTTGCCGGCACGGTGAGTGCAAGCACTTACTCCGGCCTCACCCGAAAGTATTGGAACAAGTACAACATGGGGCTCATCAATGAGACCACGGGCTATCACAAGATTGCAACGTTGCTCCCCTGGACTGGGGCAAACAATTCGGTCTTGAGGCTGTCCGGGCAGTTTGGTGGCGAGGCTGCCTTTGCAGTGCTGGACATGTACATCTCGACGCGCCCCACCCCGCTCACGGTTTCGGGGACCGCTTATGGCAATCTGGCTGCTGCCAAGGCGTACGGGGATATCGCAATATACTTGGAAACCTCCTCGAACTACAGCGTGTACCTGTCATCGACGAAGCAATTTGGTTCCTGGGACCTGAGCGTGGAGGGCAGTTCGGGAAATGTTCTCTTGGAGCCATCTGCCTCAAACACGGCCGCGCCAACCGGCACACTTCAGACCCCTTCGCCGTTGAGCCAGCTCAATATCTCGACAGAGCTGTCGACCAAGGTCACAACGCTGTCCACAAATCTCTCATGCAGCAATCTAACTGCAGCGGGCACCTTCAGCTTGGGACCTCTCACGGGGAGCTATAGCAATGCTGCAGGGCCGTTCGTCGTCTCCGCTGGCTTTGATGCGGTCGGGTCGAATCACAGCATCCCATTGCCGCCCGGAGAGAGGAATCAGGCAGGCATACTGACCGTTTTTGCAAAGAATCTGAACGGATCTTATGGTGGGTCAAAGGCTGGTTATCTGAGGATATTCTACAGTTCATTAGCAGGTGATGTGAACAACGCTTTCGGGGTGATTGAATCATATGCACCACGCATGACGACGTTTTCCGCCACTGCCAACGGGCAGGGCTGCACAATAGCCACTGATGCTGATTGTGCGGTTGCATACAAGTTCGAAGGTGCATGCTGATTCCAATTCTTATCAGTCGGAGGAGTCATATCTGCAAAATGGCCTCTCTACCAAACACTCGCTCCTTATGCGATGCATAAGCCTTCAAAACAAACGTCTTTGCGCTCCGTCACCAACTTGAAGCCGAGCCCATCCATCTCCCGGGTCATCTTCGCTCCTGTCAGCGAGGTCGCCAGCTCCTCTGATGAAAGCTTTGGACGCGTCACTAGAGCTGTGAGTACTGACGGCCATGATCACATCGATCACGCTCCCCTTGCCGCGGTGTTGGCTGCAGTTACCTCCTCGGAGTTGCGGCCTGCCCGACGAACGTAATCCCTTCCCTCCTCGAGTGCGAGAGCCGTGAGCTTGCAAATCGCTCCCACCCTAGTCTCGTACTTGAGGAACTCTGCAGCCTCGTCAATAAGGATCGGGAAGGCTTCTTCAGAAGACCACACCTTGACCAGGGACTCTCCGATGCCAAGCCTATTCTCCAGGTCGGCCCCCTGTACTGTTGGGTTCGCGAGGACTACTTGAGCGAGAGAAAGAGGAGCCATGCTGATTGATGCCTTTTATTGCAGAACCGGTCACAGGCCTCAAGAATGCTCTTGATGTGGTGGAGGCCAACCGCTAGTTCTAAGTTGAAATTCGTGCTGTTCCTAGCTCCTAAGCCACAATCTTCTGAGCCTGTGGATCTTTCTACTGCTGGGAATTTTCTTCCAAGGCTGTCCCAGAAGCCAGCACTCGCAACCTCCTATGCCACCCTTTGCTCAAGGACAGCTAATCTACCAACGAGTGATGCTACCATATCCTTGAGCTCTTTGATCTCGCGGTCTTTTTGTGCCCGAAGCTCCTTTACGGCTTCGACCATGTTTGCGTGAAAGGCATCCCCGATGCCGTATGACTTGACCCCATCCGGGCACAGCTCTTCTTCCTCCTTGCACTGTGCTGTTCCCGCACAGGACAGCTCCGGAAAGGCCTCGTCGATTTCTTGGGCGATAAAGCCCGTCACGCCCTTGTCGCCGTTGTGAGCTTCCGGGAATTTGTAGTCGAAGACGCGCCCCGTCATCCCGCATATCCTGTCTAGCGCCCCGGTGACGGGCCGGATGTTCGTCTTGACGCGCTTATCGGAACTCATGGCTGCGATCGCTGTGCTCTGTGCGTGGATCACACCGCCGTTATCGAAATAGACTCGCTTGGTGAAGAAAGACGTCGTGTATTGACTGGCCGTCCCACTGCTCTGTTGAAAAAAATTCAGGCAAAAGCCCCCGGTTGTTAACTTCCACTTTGCATTGACTACATCATCGAGGACGATGCCTGCCCCTGCGGAAGACGCTCCCAGGATGAGCGTGTTGTCGTCCGTGTTTGGTGTTGCAAACATGTGAAACGGAGCCGCTGGAGTGAATGCCGTGGTGGAGTTTGCGGTCATGCCGCACGCTCCGGTAGAGTAGTGCTTGCCGCTCGTATACAAGTCCACCCAAGGAAGTGCAGACGTCCCTAGACAGTAGCCGGACCCTCCAACCGTAGTTGGAGTGATGGTCCCAAAGTCGCACGTGTTTCCGTTTGCACTGATGGCTCCGGTGTTGGCTTGGTTGATCCAGACGTTGCCAGTCCGTGCAGAGGACGATCCGATGGTGCCAGTCACCAATAGGTTGGTTTGCACTCTCGCAGAACCGTTGATGTCGAGGTGGTACTGGGGTGACGTTGTGTAGAGGCCGAAATTCCCGTTGCCACATGCATTAAAGGTCTGCGTTCCAACAGAGTAACCGTACATTCCAAACGAGGCATAGTTGCTCGAAGACCCCGCACCTGCAGTATTGTTGAAGCCGACATAACCGCAGTTGTTGGCCGAGAGTGCAGTCCCGAAGTCGGCGAGCAGATAGTTCCCAGCCGCCAACGACGATGCCAAGAAGGTCACCATGTTGCCAATACTCACGACCGCTGGTGAGGTGACCCCGAGCCCCGCTGATGAGGTCAATCCTGCACACATGACGCTACCAGAGCTAGAGATGGAGCCGCAGGATATCGACCCGCTGTTGGAGCTGCCAGACACCGTCCACACATTTGAGCCGGTGGACCACGTGTAACCCCCAAGACTCGTGATTGGGGCGTTCATGGTGGTGGTGTCAGTGACGTTGTTCAGATATGAGAGGACGTCCACCGTCACGAGCGTGCCGCTCGGGGCTGCTGTGTTGGAGGTGGTACTGGGCTCATATAGAGTGTTCTGTTGCTGGTCGCACTCTACACATAGATCCCAGATGCAAAAATTCTGCCGATTGACGACATAAATGTCGAAAGTCGTGCCAGAGTTTGTGGTGTAGAGAGCAATATTGCAGTAGCTCCTCGCGGTCGCATAGGGGCCCGTTAGGGACCCGTTGATGGACAGGCCTCCCCTGGAAACGAGAGTCACGTCAATAGTTGCAACTTGGCCCGATGTATACCCGCCAATATGCCCGGTTATGCGCACCCCGCCAGCAGTTCCCCCAGAGCTATAGTTGCCAAGAGACGCGAGCTTGTAGTATGCATTGCTAGCGTTGACCAGGCCGGTTGCACCCATGGAGATAGCGTTCCAAAAGCGTCTCGGTAGTGCCAGGTATGTGCCCCTCAGGCTAGCCGCAGTCACTGGTCCACATGATATCGCTCCTGTGGAGTGCGTGACGTTGACTTGCCCGTTTGCCATCGAAACATTCCCAGTGCTCAAAGCTACCTGATAAGGCCGGAGGCTGTTGAATTGTCCGGTGGAGTCGCCCGGGTTTGTCATGAGCTGATAGTACGTCCCACCGTCCGAGTATTGGATGAATCCAGTGCTGCCAAAGGTACATTGCAGGAAGCCGTTCACGCCGCTGTTGCTGGTGGCCCAAAGAATTGGGGTTGCAATGCTGGTCGATACGTTGACGTTGCTGGAGAATGTTGCAGTTCCCGTGTGTGATGTGGTGCCAGTAAAGGTGCAAGCTCCGGCCGACAGCGCCCCACTGATAGCAGCCGAACCGGTCACATTCAACGTACTTGATCCGGTCCCGCTGGTGCCCACTGTCAAAGAACCCAAAAAATTGGCATTACCGGTACGTGTGTCAAACATGTGCCTTTCCGTGCTATCCCAAGTACACCTGAGACTGATTCCCCACCAGGAAGCCAGACCTCCTTCGTTGCTCCCCCCGTAACCCGTACCATCGTAATTGTTCGTCCACAGTTTAACGCCCATATTTGGATCAGCCCCGCTGTATAGGGATACTTGTGCTGCTTTCACACTCAGATTGGATCCAGATCCCATGGTGACAGTGTTTGCTGTCAACTGGCCCGTCCCTGCATTGATGTTGCTGTTGCTCGTCGTTATCGCACCACAAGTGATCGCAGTGGTCCCGAAACCGCCCACCGAAAATGCGCCCGAATTTATCTTGCTGGCATCCAAACTCGGAATCTGGGACGCCGTGAAGGTACCCGTGGTCGATGCGGCAGCGATGGAGCCCGCCGGAAGACTTATTGTTCCAGCGGAGACGGTCAGCCCGTTGGATGAGGTTAGGCCGCTGACAACGACGAGGTTGCTGCTGCATGTAGTAGTGCCGCTGAAGGTGGCTGCAGCGGTTGATAGCGTTCCTGTCGTAACAAGATTTGTGCTCCCGAATGCCCCGATAGAAAACGTTCCTGAATTTATGTTGCTGGCATTGAGGTTTGGAATCTGAGAGGCCGCAAAGGTGCCGGTTGTTGCGGCTGCAGCAATACTGCTATTTGGGAAGGACACAGTCCCAGCAACGGTGATGCCATTATCGAATTGAGCTGTGCCGCCCGAAACGTGCAGCATGTTGGCCGGAGAGACGGTCCCAATGCCCAGACGGTTGTTGTACCAGTCCATGAAGCACGGGCCTCCCAAGGCCGATGGCTTTGGTTGTGTCTGATCGTAGGCGAGATTGGATCCCGGGATGTCCGTGGCCGCGAACGTCGTGCCGGTGGTCTGAGCCCATTGCAACTTGAATTGCTGACCCCCGCCGCCCGAGTTCTGGTATGCAATCAGAATGTTCTTCCAACCTGCACTTGCAAAGGTCGTGCTTTGTGACACGGTACCGGCTGTGTAACCAGTCTGCCCAAGAACGAGGCTGCCATCGATAAAGACTCTGATGTTGTCGTCGACGCCGACCGATGAGAATGTGTAGGTCGCTGCTGCCGGGATGTTGATGTAACCGCTGATGTTCAGGTTGTAGAAAGCATTCAGACCACTAAAAATATTAGACAGAGATGCGTAACTATGCACGTTGGCTGTATCCAGTGGGCCAGCACCGCCTGTCAAAGTTTTTGTCAGGATAAACGAGCCCATGGACCTTGCCGTGCCACTCACGATATTGATCACGCTGGCAATCAGGCCGCCCGTAGTAGCGGCATTGAAGGCCCCGGAAGAATTCACGGTCCCAGCCACGTCCAGCTGATACTGAGGGCTCTTGGTCCCGATACCCACGTAGTTGCTAGTGCTGTTGATGCAGATGGCAGACGCGCCAACACCGCTCTGGAGCAGCAGGTTGCCGGCGTAAGCCCGTAGGATTGCATCGCCTGTCGCAGCATCCGTGCTGTAGGCCCCTGTACCTCCCGCCAAGCCGAATTGTGCAGTGTTTGTAGTCGCTCCACTGATGAGGCCAAACTGAGTACTCGAAGCATTGGAGGCCGACACGTTTACTGCATGCGTTCCTACCGAGAAGGCTCCGGAAGTGATCTGTGATGCAGGGAGACTTCCGATAGCAAAGGCCGAAATGGACGCACTCGGCAGAGATACTGAGCCTGCCGAAACCGTCAGGCCGTTGGATGCCGTCAAGAGGCCTGCCACTGCTGCAGGTCCAGTAATGGAGACGTTACTGCTGAACGTTCCTGTTCCGGATACTGTCAATGCGTTGGACCCTGTAATAGCACCCCCGACCGACAGGTTGCTGGACAAGTAAGCACTCCGCCATGCGGTTGCAGAGGCACCCAGGTCGTAAGTTGCACTGGTAGTGGGATTGTGCTGACCGCTCGTTATAGAACCGCTTCCCACAGTGATGTTGCTGTTTCCAGTGCTCATGGTCGTGCAAGTCAGTGCCCCCAGAGTGCTAGCCCCAGCCCCCAGGGTTCCCGTAGTGCTGATATTCGTACTACCGAACGAGCCCACCGAAAACGTGCCCGAAGTGATCTGAGATGCAGGGAGATTTCCCACAGAAGAGGCCGAGATAGACCCACTTGGCAGAGAGACCGTCCCTCCAGAGATTGTCAGGCCGTTGGATCCAGTAATAGCACCGCCTACGGTTATGTTGCTCGATAGGTAAGCACTCCTCCACGCCGTGCCGGACGCCCCCAGGTCGTATGTTGCTGTGGCTGATGGGTTGAGCTGCCCGCTGGTGATACTGCCGCTCAGTATCGATCCAGAGTTCGAAGATCCGATAAGATTCCAAACGGGATTTCCGGACGACGCGGAATTCGAAAAGCTGAAGTTGTTGAAGCTCGTCGTTACCGTTCCTGACGAGAATTCGGATGAGGTAGTGAGGATGCTCAGCACCGATGAAGTCACGAGGGTGCCAGTAGGGGCTGTTATGGCCGTCGAGGTGGGTTCGTAGAGGGTCGTACCGAAGCCACCCTCGACGCTGAGGTCCCAGACCGAGAACTGTGCGGGGTTGTAATAGTAGACGCTGTATTGCCCGTTAGTCTCCATATAAACGACGATATCAGCGCGCTGCTTGGCCCCTGAAATGAAGCCTTGGATCGTGCCTTTCACATAAAAGTTGCCTCGAGATACTATGGTGCAGTCGACCGTTGCCGTCTGTGAGTTCCCGAAACCACCGAGCTGCCCGACGATCCGAAGACCCTGTCCGCTGCCAGTATCACTGCTATCGAGCAGAGTTGCCAACTTGAAGTAGCTGTTGGCGGCTATCGACTGGATTCCGAGCGCCCCTGCGTTCCAAAACTTTCTCTGCAGGCCGACGAAATTACTTGCCGTTATCGTGCCTGACAGATATGCATTCCTCCATGTGGTTCCAGAAGCACCCAGGTCGTAAGTTGCACTGGTAGTGGGATTGTGCTGACCGCTCGTTATAGAACCGCTTTCCACAGTGATATTGCTGTTTCCAGTGCTGATCGTCGTGCAAGTCAGTGCCCCCAGAGTGCTAGCCCCAGCCCCCAGGGTTCCCGTAGTGCTGATATTCGTACTACCGAACGAGCCCACCGAAAACGTGCCCGAAGTGATCTGAGATGCGGGTATACTTCCAAAGGACGAGGCCGTAATGGACCCATTCGGCAATGAAACGGATCCTGCCGAGACAGTCAGTCCGTTGGATGCCGTCAAGAGGCCCGCCACTGAGAGGTTTGAGCTGAAGTTTCCAGTACTTGCAAAGACGTTTGACCATTGATTCGAGGATGTTCCCAGGGTATACGCGTTGGTTGCATTTGGCGTCACAGAACTGCCAAAAGAACCTACAGAAAAGACCCCCGAAGTCAGGTTTGACGCCGACAGGTTGGGGATGTTTGAGGATGCCAGCACGCCAGAGAGGGATGCTGCCGAGACAGACCCAGCTGGCAGACTCACCGTTCCCGAAGGTACAGTCAGCCCATTGGCTGTCAGGGTATTTGCAAAGAGATTGAAGGACATCCTCCTTCCTACTAGCCACCAAGATATAATCACAAGGCACTTAGGAGTGTGTTGAAAGAAGACTTTCATGGCGCCGTGCTTGTTCTTGAAGAGCTGTCATGTCGCATGCATCATGGACACCGACCTAGCTCAGGTCTCAAAGTACAAGGTTCAGCTTCCAATCATGTGGAAACGAGCTTACAAGGCTCGCTTCAACATAGATCTGCTCGAGGAAGCACGGAAGGTGGTTCAGGATGTAGAAGGAGTTCACCTGGCGGTGCTCAAAGGCCGTTCACTGCTAGTGTATCTCGGGGCGCCCCACATGGCTGAAGAGGTCATGAACGAGATCAGGGCTGAGAGGGCGCTGCGCGAAGCGGCTGTAACTTGGGAACGTGAGGCACACGTGTGCAACAGCCTGCAGTGGGCCATCATCTCGAGGTTCTTGAAGGATGACGAGTTCAAGACCCACGCTTTCATTGCTTATACTTCCGAGCATGGCTCTGAAGCAGCCATGAGAGCACTATACAACGTCAGGGTTTGGAGTCCTCAATGATGCGTTCTGCCTGGCCCGTTTGAATTCTGACACACTACCAGGAGTCGAATGGTCAAGATAATCGAAGCGCCCTTGCAGAGAGTGCTGCTTGTCTCTACACATGTGGGGCAAACAACAGGATGTCAAAGTTTGCACGTGGGCTAACATGCTTGAAATGTTGAGAAGGTTGACAACGGTAGAAACCAGGTCTGTGTCGAAGTTGAAGGAACTGGAGGAATTTGTACAAAGGTGAAGAAACAGGAGATGTACAACGTTAATCCTGACGTCTTGGAACTTGCCTGCATGTGTTGTGTTGTGTTGTGAACATCACCCGCGAAGCCTGTCAACCTCTTGCGTTCAGTTGGACCGCTTCATTAGC